GACCCAGACATATTTGCAGTTGATACGGTGCCCACCGATACCGAGCTGGGCGAGGAGTGCCAGGAAAATTGGGTGGCGAACGCCAATATCGAGTGCAATTATGTCTGGGTCTGGAAGAACGCAACTTGTGATGCTGCATTTGGATTCCAAAAAAATCTGTATTGCATGAGCAGCAAGGGCGAGAGTGTATTTTTTGCTACGGGAAGAGGGCATTTGTCATGCGGAATAGGCATCAGGAAGCCCTCAAGACATTTGTCATGCTAGGGCATGCATCACAGACATCATGGCTCATGCAAAACTTACATGACGAGTCTCAGAATCTTCCAGACCCAGACATTTTTACACGTGATAGCCAACCTCGTCGTGGGCGTGTCGGACGCCGAGTGCTTGTACGCGAGTCGCGTCCCCATCCCGGACCGGATATCAAAAGCAAAAATCCGTCCTCCCCATATCGAAAACGAAATTTGTCATGCTGTATTTGAGTACACAAGTCGACTTGTATTGCTAGAAGGCCAAGAGCCGCAGTTGTGGCCTCGGTTGCAGGCAATTTGCCATGCTGTTTCCCACTTTTAGTTGTTTTTTGTTATGTTGAAGACGCAAAGGTTTATTCCCACGGCACCCAGCACTACAGCCCGCATCTTTTCCCTTCTAGCATGACAAAGCTCCCACAAATCTGCATCACAGATTTCCGCTTTGATATGGGGAGGGGGGATGTTTCCTTTTGATACCGGACCCATGGGTGCCAGGGGCGGTACCGCGCGGCGCCGTTTCGCCGCTCGAAGTTCGACAACTACGAGTGCAGTGTGCCGCTGTCTTTGAACAGCAACGAGTCCTCCCTCATTGCCTACGAGGGGGACGGCACCGCAAACACGCGCCGCTTCGACTTCGATTGTAACACGCGGATCGCCCGGTACCTGTGGGTATCAAATGCAAAAGTGTCTGGGTCTGGAAGAATGCAAGTTTGTCATGCTTGTCTGGCATGACTCGAGAATCTGTGTTGCATAGGCACGAAAAGGCCCTCTTCCCTGTCATGCAAAAACGCAGTGTGCCATGCGGAATACGTAAGACATGGCAGCCAAAAAATTTGTCATGCATAGCTGCGTATTGCAGTGCGTCTACCATTCACTTTTAGCATTACAAGTTTCCAGACCCAGACATTTTTGCAGTTGATAGTGGGTCGAACTCCCGCCCGTGTACGAAAACCGGACCCGCTATGCAACTGTCAGGATTGAAATCGTCAAAGTTGAAATAGTTTGTCATGCATAAAATGCAATGCAGAAAAGACCTGTCTTGCAGAGTAGGCAAGGGAGGCAGATTGTAAGCCTGTTTCGGGGTAGAAATGGAGCTGCTAAAGTAGCATGACAAAAGGCGTCTTCCTTACCCAAACAGCATAACAAACTGGATTTCGGCTCTACTCAAATTTGTCCTGCGCCGCTAAGAAATTAGGCTTCCAACTGGTATCGATTTTATGCATTAATTAAAAGTTTTTTCAACTCTGTCGATTTCAACTCTGACACATCCATACCCGCTACCTCGCTCTGAACGAGATTAAGGTTTTCGGCCGCCCCTAGGTCGCTCCTGCATTGCTACTTATGAATATGGTTGCTCAGATTACGCAGCAGGGGGATAATTGTAGTTGTATGAATACTTACCGAACACGAAGAGACCACCATTTCCACCAATATGTCCCCACTTGTGTATGAACTAGAAATACTAAGTATTAGCCTGTCTGTTGGTAGCAGCTGTACGAATTTTTTTTGTGTCTGTATGAAAGGGATTAGTTTTTCGTTTTATGCGACTTTTTTTTGCACAACGACGCTGTCGGGGACTTTCTTGTCACTGACTACGGTCGCTTTTCGTTTTTTCTATTTGATGTGGTCTTGCTTTAGTTTCTAAGTACTTACTTTAACTTCATTATGCACACCGTTGCGGTTGCCGCTGCTGGGCGGGTGGCTAACCAACTACATGGAGAAATCGAAGGCATGGATTTTAGTTGTCTTTTGATTTCGATGCAGATCATATGCGAGTTGTGTTTTTTTTTTTCAAAGAAGGGTGGCATCGCCTGCGCCCCTGCTAAGTACGACTATTTCTTCTGGATGCTCATGCTCACAACTCCGGTCCGACGAGGCTCTTCGTCTTGCCGCTGCAGCCGGAAGTGCTACATTATACTACTTCAACTACTCAGAGAACAATGAATGTTGTTGGATATGCCGCCTACTTCGAGCCTGCATGGGCATGCGGAAATTGGCACATCAACATCCTTCCACTCCGATGGAATGTTGTCGATACTACAGATTATTTCCAAGAAGCAAATTCCTATACGCAAATGCATATAGTAACTACAATAAACTCATTTTTAGACGGCAGTGCGTGTTTTTTTCAAAATGGATTGATAAAAGAACGTTTTAAAGCCCCGGCAGTGCGGACCGGCGAAAACAAAACGGGGGCTTTCATCCGAGAGCTGTATCTCTCCTGTGTGTTGCTCCGAGAAGTCGAAGTCTGCGTGTTGGTAGTTACTTTGGGCACCAGCTGCACATACTTCGATTTCGTTTTCGATCAGATCCGATCAAATACACACATTATGTGCACCATGTGCCGCACCAGTAAATCCAAATAGTAATCGAACGAACAATTAGTGCAATTGCGAAAAGAACACTTAGGCGCGCCATGCATAAAAGCCATGGATCCATGCATAAGTTTTGTCCGTGAGCGAAAAAACGTGAAGAACATCCTGAACTTCTACGAGAAGACCTCGCAGACACGCGGAGGAATTCTGCCCACGGGGCTAGCGAACGCGATCAGAGGAGGACAGGCGGTTTTTGACGAGGCGGACTACAAAGACGTGGCAGAGTGGCAACCGGAGAAAAAGCCGAGCAAGGTCCAGGCGAGGGACCTGAACAAAATAGCGAGCTGGGTCGGGAGGCTCTAGGAGAGAGACCGCCAACACGAAAACGAACAAAGCCGACAAACTGCTACGGACGAGGGGACTACGCTCAGCCGGGCAACTTCTCCGAAAAACCCGCACCCAGAAAAATCCCACCACCCTTCCCCCCTCGCTTTAGGTCTATCTGCAGTACATGACACCTCTGGCTGCAGGAGCAGTCCTGGGGTGTTAGCGCGGGAGGAGCGGAACCGGTGACCAGCTGCGTCGGCCAGGGCACATCGAAACAGGTGGGTCTAGGGCAATGAGGGTGCGCCAAGTGGAAGGTGGTGGAGATGGGAACGGAGACAGAGTAGAGAACTTGTCGAGGCGCTTGTTGAGGCGGTAAAGTAGGTAGTAGCGTGAAGCCACCGCGCATAGTTAAGAAGTTAAAGAGCACGACACTGCGAGGCTCGACCCGTCCTCGAACGGGGGCGGGTGAATGTAGCAAGCGGCGATCGTGTTACAGAGGCTGTCGCTCGTCCGCCACACTAGTTTCCTAACAGAAAGAAGAAAAAACAAGACAAGGCGCCTAAGCTACTACTAATGCTTACGTGGTAAAACAGTAGAATAGCCGCGCGCCGCAGTCAACCCAGGGAACCCGCTGAACTTCGTTTTAGCGGGTTTTGTAGTAATAATCCCGAAAGCATGATCATGAATCAAAACAGGGGCGGAAAGTCCATTTTTCTGGATCTTTACTTAAGAACGGGCGCAAGTAAAAGCCCAGGCGTTTCAGGTTGAAAGTAGTCTTTTTTTCTGGCTCTTTGCTAAAGCACTTATATGTGGTTGAAGCAGTATAGCTGTATTTGATGGCAAAACTAATTCATTGACAACTCGAAAAGCACAAGTGACATACTTCTTGTTTTAGTTTTTTTTCTTTTTGGAGCCGCTGTTTGTAATCCAATGGATTATGTGCACCATGTGCCGCACCAGTAAATCCAAACAGTAATCGAACGCAGATCGTGGTTTGCTCCACCAGCTAGTTTAGGCGTTATTTTATTTCCCGCCCCGCCCGGAAGATCGGTATCGTTTTCGTTTACGCTTTGCACCAACATAGTACAAAGGAGCAGCTTCTTCAGGTTTGGTGTTTACAACGAGCGTTGGATGAAAATTGAAAACAAATAAAGCACGTCAAAGCTCATCTTCAAAAAGATCCAGATGCCACGAGGCCGAAACGGAAGTACAACCAGCGCCACGACCTTTAATACCTTTCTCAACTCTGTGACGTGGCGCGCTGGTGCCTGCGGTCAACACCATCACCATCAGTGCTCTGACATCTGGTCGTGCAAAGGTAGGCGCAAGACTCGAGCCCTGCTCTCGATCAAGAACATTTAGTGTAGACGAGCGCAGCTAGTACTACTAGTTTTCTTCCTTGTTCACCGATCTTCATCTTAATAAATACTTAAGTAAGTTACAGCTGAAATAATTTTGTTGTTCATGTCACGACTTCGTGCGCCGTGTTCCGGTTCGTTCCCAACTGCCTCGCATTCTTCTTCCATCGTGTCGTCCTCGTAATTTTCGTGCGGTGCCGGTTCAAAGCTGCTCGCGTATGAGGAACTGCTGGCGGTGAAAAGCCGCCCCGAGGAGAGGGCGTGTCGATGAGGAAGTGGCGGCGGAGAAGATGAAGATTGATATATAAATGTACGGATGATGGACTATACGCAGCTAGCGCTACGTGGTCAGCATGATCAGCTGAGAGGTCTAACATCCCGCGGCTGATCGCTGATCGTGATCCGGCTCGTATTGAGAGGAAAAATCCCCCCTCCCCATATCGAAAAGTTATGTTTCCGAAAATTTGTGTTGCTGATTTGAGACCACAAATCGCGTCTGTCTTGCAAGGAGGCAACTCCACAAGCTCCGCAGCATTGTGCAGGCGGTTTGTGATGCTGATGGGCCTACAGCACGGACGTTCCCCATGCTAGACGCCTGGGCCAAAACCTCTCCCCTTAGGCTTAGTATGGGCCTGCATTTCTCTCCAGCAAGACAGATCAGATTTGCGTACGCAGCTCCTGCGTCAGAGACGTCGTTTTGATATGGGGAGGGGGGATTTTTCCTTTTGATACGGGCGCCCTGCTCGAAAATGCTGTTCGAGCAGCATTTGTTTCTGGATGCGCCGCGCGGCGCGAGGGAGAGCAAGCGGTGCGGCTTCCGCATGTTCCGCAGTGCGTTCCGCAGGATCTTGTTGCTTAAGCGCTGGGCCACGAGAACGACGAGGACGGGAAGTGGAAGTGCCGCTGGGACTGCGAAAACATCAAAGCGAAATACTAAAAAACTACATGCGTGGTCTCACTTTTTCTACGTTCTTCTCGCTCCGTGTTTGTTGTTCTTGTTTTTCTGCTGCTTTTTGTTTTTAGTCGACGAGAGCAGCTCCTCCTACTTTCACCTCCCTCTGGTTCAGGCCGCTTTTTCCTTGGAGCCCTTTTTCAACCCGTTGTGCTTACCGGAGCGGGGTGGCGGGTGCGACGAAAGCAGTGCCACGTATGAGATTTCGCGGACCAACACCGCCAGCGAGACGGTGCGGTCCTGTGACACGAAGTGTCGGGCCATTTCCGGGTGCGTCGCGTTCGTGATTTTTCGACTTCCGAGTATCACACTGGATTGCATTTTTTACCGGGCTGGGTGCCAGATCGACCCAACAATGGCGACGACCAGGAAGAGGCAGGCCGGCAATTACGACTTCCCGTACTACACACTGGCGCGTAACGAGGCGCAGTGCATCGACCAACAAGACACCCCTTTGCTAGACAGCGACGCAAATTGCCCCGTACGACAAATAAATGATGAACCACACGCAGCGTAGACTCACTCCTGTCCAGTGATCCAATAAATGAGCTTTACAATCTTGAGAGAGATCCGGAAGGAAACACAAGGAAACCAATGACCTAAATGATCCCGGAACTAGTGTGAAGCTGTTTCACGACCACCGCTCTGGGGGTGGTCGGGACAAGAAGCAAGACGACCTGCAAACCAGCAGAGTGGAAGACTTACCCAAGACACCCCCTGAATACGTACAGGCCTTGAGTTACAAGGCCGCAGCTTATGTCGCGCAGTGGGGGGGTGAACGAGTTGACAGGGGGGAAAGAAAAACGTCAGAGGGTGGGCAAGGGAAAAGATTTTTGATGCAGGGTGGGGCCAAGCCCCTGCGCCGCTTCGTGCTGAAAGAACGAAGGCGGAGCGCCATGGCGCCCGTGGTTCCCGTCGTTGTGCGAGCGCGAGGACCCCGCCCGCATTGGGCGCGCGTTTCTGAGGCGGCAAGCCTTAGGCCCAACAACGCTACGCAAAGCGTGGCAGCGGGCGGGCGCCAGAGGACGAGGGAAGGAAGCAGGAAAACAGCCCGCGCAATGCACGGCGCTGGCGCGTGGCGCCCCGTCCGCGCGTCTGTTGTGTGGGCGCGTCCGTGAAGCCTGCCGGTGCGCCCCGCTCCTGCACGCCCTGGCGCCGCCGCCCCTTCTTCTCCCGCGCGCAGCCTTGCAGAACAAAGGCTGGCTGGCTCGCTGTGGCCCCTGCCACGCGCGTGGATAGAGGGCGGGCGCCGGGGCGGGGCATTTCTAGCCTACTCTCCAGGCGCAGGGGCCCGCCACCCTCTCCCCGCACCCCCGGACAACAGCGGCGCCCCACGCGTTAGCTCGCGCGCAATCTCTTCCGCCCCCGCCTCTTCTCGCGCGCAGCCAGCCAGCCTCGCTCCAAGGGGCGGCGGGCGGCGGCGCCCTCGGTCTGCCCGTCTCGTCGTGAACAGTGGGACGGCGCCGGGAGAGGGTGGTGGGCAGCTGCTCGCCTGGTGCTTGGGCGCGGCTTTCCCCCTGGGCCGGTGCTTTCGCTTTCCAACCATCCCCGCGCCCCCCGGCTTCCCCGCGCTTCCCGGCCGCCTCCCCCGTGTTTCCCGCCTTCCCCGTGCCCCCTGCCTTCCCCGTGCTTCCCGCTTTCCCCGTGCTTCCCGTTTTCCCCGTGCTTCCCGCTTCCCCCGTGTTCCCCGCTTTCCCCGTGCTCCCGCTTTCCCCGTGCTTGCCTGCCTCCAAGAGGCGGCGGACGGCGGCGCCCTCTGCCGTTCTCCTCGTGAACAGAGGGAGGGCGCCGGGGATGGGTGGTGGGCAGCTGCTCGTCTGGTGCTGTGGCGCGGGCGGGCGGCTTTCCCCGTGGGCTGATGCTTCCCGCCTTCCCCGCGCTTCCCGTTTTCCCGTGCTTCCCGCTTTCCCCGTGCTTCCCGCTTTCCCCGTGCTTCCCGCTTTCCCCGTGCTTCCAGTCTTCCCCGTGCTTTCCGTTTTCCCCGTGCTTCCCGCTTTTCCTGTGCTCCCCGCCTTTCCTGGGCATCCCGCTTTTCCTGTGCTTCCAGCCTTCCCCGTGCTTCCCGTACGTTTTCCCCGTGTTTCCCGCCCCCCCCGTGCCCCCCGCTTTCAAAGCTGCAAAAACGGAAGAAGCGGCTTCGTTGGAAGGTTGTTGCGAGATATTTCCTGGTCATAATAATTTGCGAGGGCTGCAAAATATTTCGACTTGCAAAATACTTCGACTTGCGAAATTTTTTGGCTTGCAAAATATTCCGACTTGCAAAATGTTTCGACTTGCAAAATTTTTTGGCTTGCGAAATATTTTGCGTTGCAAAATGTTTCGAGTTGCGAAATATTTTGAGTTGCGAAATATTTTGCGTCGCAGAGTATTTCGCTTTGTAAAGTATTTTAATTGGCAAAACGTTTTGCGTTGCAAAATAGATGCGAGCGAAGCGATGGGGGTTGGGCGATGAAAGTTGGGGGCTGGGCGATGAAGGTTGGCAATCGGGCGACGGAAGTTGGGAGCCCGTGTCTTCTGCCCTCCCCATGCCCCCCGCTTTCAAAGCTGCAAAAACGGGGGAGGCGGTTTTTTCGGGGGTTGTTGCGAAATATTTTCTGGTCAGAATATTTCCCGAGGGTTGGAAAATATTCGGAGTTGCAAAATATTCCGACTTCCAAAATATTTTGCGTTGCAAAGTAATTCGAGTCGCGAAATATTTGGAGTTGCAAAATATTTTGCGTTGCAGAGTATTTTGATTCGCAAAATATTGCGAGGCGCAAAATATTTTGCGTTGCAAAATAGTTGGGCGATGAGAGTTGAGCGATGGCGGTTGGGCGATGAAGGTTGGGAGCTGGTAAGTGGGCGGCGGGGGTTGGGTGCTAAGCGATGGGGTTGGTGGCGAGTTTGGCGATGGGATTTGCGAATTGGGCGATGGGAGACGGACTTTGCGAGTTGGGCGATGGGAGTTGAGCGGTGGGCGGTGAGCGATTTCGCAAGTCGCGAAATTTTTGGAAAGTTTGAAAAGTGTGAAAAAAGTTTCGGCGTGGACGATTTTCCTCCCCGTCGCAAAGTTTTAACCGCCCCCGCTTATAGGAGTTATATTGCATGCCGTGAATGCTATGAATCTGTACAGTGATTGGGGATTAGCCTCAACCTTACGGCTATCCCTATTTGAAAAACCAACTGCGTCCCACCCTTTGGGTATTGTTCCCAACTGGTATTGGGTCTGCTCTGTGTGGTTCGTCTTCGCGCTTTCGCTTAGCAGAGTTATGAGCCCAAAATGCATCCTAAATTGCATTGCAGTAAACTAACTAAGCGACCACACCGCAGTAAAAAACGAGCACTACCAGCGGCAGTAATAAGCGGAAAAAGCAAAAGAAGAACAGGAACGGGATGAACGGCGGAAACAAGAATACCGGAGCCGAAGGGCAGCAAGCTGCTATCCAGCAGCCGGAAACCACCGCGCCGCAGACTCCTACTGGCGACAAAATCAAGAACCCCCGGAACCCGAGTACTGGCGGGAGCACCTTCGGCGTTGCCGAGCGTGAGGAATTCTCGAAAACCAAAAAGGAGTTGCAGAATTTGGGCGCAGCAGAAGAGCAACCTCGAGCAGAATTATTTGCATCGCGACAGCGAGAAAACCAATCGCGAGAACAACTGCAAACAGCTTCAGGATGAGGCGGAAGCCGCGAAACTGCAGGCGCAGCAGGCGGAAGAAAAGCGCGCCAGCGACCTTGCTGAGCTGCGGAAGCAACTCGACGAAGCGGCAGAGCAGGCGGAAGCAAAACGCGAAAACGCCGCCACCGAAATTCAGCAGCAGCTCGGTACGATGGCGGAAAAGGCGGACCCGGAGCGCGAAAAGCGTGAAAAAGCCGAGGTGGAACGCGTCCAGAAGGAGCGCGAGAAGGAGCAACTGCCGGAGCAAGTCAACGCCGCGAACAAATTGAAGTGGGAGCTGACGGAACAGCTCTCCCAAGCGAAAAAGGAGAATGAAGGAGGAGCAGCTTGCCAAAGTCCAGGAGCAGAAGATAGAATCGCAGCCCAGTGCGCAATCAGAAGAAGAAAGACAAGAAGCGCAAGCGGTTCTCTTCAACTTCTGAAAGTTTATTCGTCTTCCGATTCCGGTTCTAGCAGTGAAAAGGAAGACGATGGCGAGAAGAAGAAGAAGAAGAAAAAGCGCAAGAAGGATAACAAGAACGCCTTGACCAAGGTCCCCAATTTCGCCGAGAGTCCCACGATGCCCATGTGGGAATGGTTGGGAGTTTGTCTGTGGCGAGAAGCATGACGCGAAAGACTTCACTGCGAATGTCGAGGGTAAGACATCCTGTGTCGACATGTTGCGGACCTACCGGGCCATCACCAAGCGGCCCGAGCTGAAAGACATCCGGAGCGCAGCGGAAAAGCTCGACCGGATCTGCGACGTTTTCCGTGAGGAATATGGCGACGAGGACCTGCTGACGGAAGGTTTGGAGAAATGCATTACGGACGGGAAGAAGCAGAGGCCGTCCGAGTGGTTCCGCGAATTCCAGCAAAAGCATTCTGCTTTGCCAGCTGGAGCTATCGCCACGCGCGAGGTGATCCATCCGTGTTGCCCGTCGCAACTGTACGGAAATGGTGCGCAAGATCATTATCAATGATCGCCCCAAGACCCTCTCCGAGCTTGCGACCAGTATCGCGAAGGCACAGGCGCAGTGGAAGCCCCCGGCCAAGCGTGAAAACGCTGAAGGAGCTCTCTTCGTCGGCAGGAAAGGCAAGGGTGGCGGAAAGCACGGCCAGAAGAGTGGAAAGGGCAAAGGCAAGAAGGGCGACCGTGCTTGCCACTATTGCAAGCGCCCCGGACACTTCATTGCCGAATGCCGTGACAAAAAGCGCGACGAAGCCAGCGGAATTTACAAGAATGGCAGCTCGTACGCCGCGGCCACGAAGTCGAACAACGGCAACAGCCACCAGAACCAGGGAAACCACAATAACCAAGGTGGACAGCCGCAGCAACAGCAGCAAGTCTACCAGCCGCCGCAGCAGCAGGCGTACCCACTGCAGCAGCAGCAACAGCAGAACAGCCTCCCAGCCCAGCAGGTGTGGCAGCCGCCGCAGCAACAAAATGGCTATGGGCACTACATGGCAGCCCCGTGCATTGAAATCACTAAAAAGTCCGAGCGCTTGCAGTGCTTCGCAACACAGACTGCCCACGGTGCGAATGTGGTGGGCTGCATCCTGTTGGTGGACTCGTGTGCAAGCCGGCACATGCGTGGCGACTTAAGTTTGTTGCACTCCTTGCGCCCGGCAGACACGAAGCTGACTTTCTCGACTGCGAGCGGTTTTGTATGCGAAAGTCGTACCGTCGGAGACATGTGGGGCCCGACGGGTTGCATGTTCAAGAACGTGGTCGACGTGAAGCCCCTGGGTTCGAAGACCCTCCTATCACTGGATCTTTTGCGGAAAAGTGAACGGCTTTCCGGTATCCATCGACAGCATGAATTTCTTCAGCAAGTTCCCCACGCATATCCTGGGAGGATTCACTACGGTCAAGATTCCGATGCACTTCCTTGGTGGCGAATCCGGTGGAGAAGTGCTCTGTCACGAACACGCAGGAGCTTATGGAGTCACTCTGGTGCGCTAATTTTGATCATTTCAGTAGCTTTGTTGGTTTTGGTAGTGATGCTAGACTAGCTTGGTACGAAATAGACGGAGCAAACCTCTCCACTTCGGAGATCATCAATGAAATTCGAATGAATCGGAGCAAGCAACTTGTAATGCTCTGCCCTGTCATCAGCGACGAGGTCAAGAGCAAGCTGAAAACAGTGGCAGCCTTTTTCGATGAGCCAGTAACCGTGTCAGCTGGCCCCCTAACTACACAGGCCAGAACGTTCGAAATCAGCAGTGAAGAAATCCAGAGTCTCGCCGCGATTTGCTTAAAAAGTGGACAAATTTGCGGACTCGACTCACGCCAGACCGCGAAAGGTTCTGAACCTGTTGAAAACAGTACACAGGTGCAGTTTAGCCACGTGACTCAGAGCAATTCGGTTCTCGCAGCACCTGAGACTCTCGCAGCACCTGAGACAGAAGTGGGAGAGTTAACGAGTGAAAGTGATAGCGCAGCAGAAGACAGCCGGAAGCCTGTCCCAGCAAAGTCGAAAAAGAAGCCCAAAAAGAAGAAGCGAAAAGCTTCTCCACACCCAGAACGCACTATGCCCGCGAAGAAATTCTGCAAGCGAGATACTGAGCACGCGCCACAGTATGGACGCTTGCCTGCCATACAGCAAAATATGCGAAGTAGCTGCTAACTTGTTTCTACCTACCTTTCAGAACGTCTGGGATTGGAAATTATTAGAACCATGGGCAACAGTCCACAGGCTCCTGGCTTGGTTGTGCATTTCTGCAAACATAACTTGCAACGCCTTAAGACCATGGCCGTCCCCCATGATAAGGTCGGCGGAATCGATTCCAATTCGATCTCCGACGGACTGGGTAGCGCTGGACACATTTTGGCCCGTAGGCAAGAGCCATGCCGTTTTGCATGCTATCAACCTGCACAGCCGCGCAAGTAAAACGCATACACTGACGCGCGCCCCGAAAATGCAGGACACTAAAAAACTCCTAGAAAGCCTCAAGCCGTGTGGGATTATCGGCAAGAATATCCTACGCGACCAAGGCAAGGAGTTCGATAGTTCTGAAGTTCGTCAGTTTTGTCAGTTATATGGCTAGCAACTCTTCGGAACCCCCAAAGCCTCTTGGGTAAATGGTATCTGCGAGCGTAGACATAGAGTCTGCAGGTCTGTTCTGCACAGGCTCAGATATGTATTCGGACAGAGAACCACTCCTATCCCCAAATTAGTCGAGCAAGCCACTAACGCTGTCAATATGACACCAACTAGCGCACTAGATGGCCTATGTCCGTGCCAGGTTCAGGGGGTTACCAATCCCCAAAAGTTGGAGCCCCCTGGCCCTGAGGACTTAAGCGGTCAGCAGCTTGCACTTATGCAAGACCCTGAAGTAAAAGAAGCCTACCAAATGCGTTGCGAGGCTAGAGCCTGGATTGAAAAAGTTAAAACTGATAGTCAGCTCGTGGCCGAAATGAAGAAGCTGCGAGAAACGCAAAGGAACTGCTACAAAGAGTCCGACGAAGTTAAGCAAGGCGAGCTAGTGGAGTTGTTTGATAAAGATAAGAAGGAGTGGATGGGTCCAGCGACTCTAATCCATAGACAAGTCAGCCCGGACTCAGTAACAAACTTTTGTAGTAGCTAGATCACGACGGCCACTATCGCCGCGGGCATGCTAGTCATATTAGAAAGCACGCGACAGCTAGTGACATGCTGCTACCTCCTATGCTGTTGAAAATCTTATACAAGACGCACAGGGTGCCCGTGGGGCAGAGGCTACCGCCAGTCGGTGAGTTTGTTGAAGAAGAGGCGAAAAGAGAAGTCGTCAGCGATGCATCGGATAGGCGCAAGGGCACAAGACCAACGAAAGTAAATCAGGACGAATTCGAACTCGATCCGAAACTTGAGGAAGCCCAGCCAGTGCGGCCTGGAAGTAACAAGGAGAAGCCTGCCAGCGTGCAGAAGCATGCTAGTGAGCAGAGGGAGCCTGTGTGGCACAATCCTGCCAGCGAGCAGAGGAAGCCTGTGCGGCACGAAGTGAAAGGGAGCCAGGAGTTGCGTCCTGATGAGAAAAGCCAGGCACTGCGACCTGAGGAGTCCCATTCCAAGAGATGCGCGGACAGCCTGCGTGGCAAAAGTAACTCAGTGGAGCAGTCGCAGCCAGTGAAGTCTGTTGACAGACAGTGAGGAGCCCCGAGCCGCTTCAGGCGGGGAGGAAGGCGTAGGCCTTTCCAAGAGATTCCGGCTCACTAAGGATGATAGGGATTCTGTATCTGATAGAATAAAAGCCGAAGAAGCTGAGAAGCTTAGGAGTGTCCTAGCTAACGAGGAAACGCTTCCAGTACGTGGAGCATGGCATTTGAGAAATGCAGAGCGCCTAAAGACGCTGAAGCAAATCCGCGAACTAGTTGAGGCGCAGCCCGAAACTAGAGAACTAAAGGAGGGCCAGCTGCAAACGCTAGCAGCTGACATAGCCGAAAGGTGTAGAACTAGTGAAGAGCTTAACCACATAGACGAGAGCGCCCTAATTGCTATGCTAGCGCCTTTAGTAGTTAGAGACTGGGAAAAGGGTGGGACTTGTTTTAAAGTCGCAACCCTACCAAAAGAGCGAGAAGACTTTGACACGTCTACCGACGAATGGCGTGCAGCTATCAAGAAGGAGCTCACAGCCCGCAAGCATGTATGTAGACAAGCAACCGAAGAAGAACTTCTAACCCTTAAAAAGTCAAGAAGCAGACCAATTCCGTGCAGGATGCTGCTGCCACGCAAACGCTGTGGCGGATGCAAATTCAGAATTGTTTGTCTTGGATTTATGGACGAGATTTCTTCGTGTGATTCTTATGCTTCTAGTCCCGATCTTAGCCTTTTGCGCATGTTGTTAGCGCTTAAGTGCCAGGCGCCAGGATTGTACGCATTCCCCAGCGATGCTGCGTCAGCCTTTTTACAAGCTCCCTACCCGACTGATGGCGTTGCTATCGATTTAGACGCACGACTACAGGCTGAGTTGAGCTACCGCTACGCTGTTGTAGTCTATGCGATGAACGGCCTGCGCCTAAGTAGTAAAGCGTGGGAAAGCCACAGGGATTCAAAACTCGAAGAGCAAGGCTGGAAACGCAATCCAATCGAGGCCACTCTCTGGCAACGTGGCTTGGTTTTGCTTTTGGTATTTGTTGACAGCTTCTGGCTTTTCGGGAAGAAGGAGGAAGGCGCGAAGTATCGTGATAAACTCAAGCCAGTTTTGAAACTAGAACCTGAGACAGTACGTGACGAGGGACGCTACCGCGTCTATGATGTTTTGGGCATTGTGAGGCGTGGGGGTGTACTCCCTCGGGTGATATTTTGCTCTCCCAAGATGTTTGCGCGCAGAAAATTCTGAAGAGATTCGGCGGGGATATTGGGAAAGCAGTCACGTTGCCAATGGAATCTCCCGCGAATTCTGCAACAGAGGACGACCCTAAACTCTTGAAACCTAAGCAAGAAATGGCCGGAAGTCTGCAGTACTTAGCTCATACGCGTGTAGATATTGTAGTAGCGCTAAAAGCCTGCGCCAGGGTGAAAGCAAGTGCTGAAAGCATTGCAGCCCTGAAGCGTCTATTTAGATACCTGCGGACACGTCGTGGATTGCAGTACAAGAACAACCGCGAGACCTTCGGTGACAGGCTGGGCTTATCGTCTTGGAGCGATTCGGACTGGGCATCGTTTTCGGACCGAAAATCCAACTTCGGTGTAGTCATCACCTTGAACGGTTGCGCAATTGCTTGGCGCAGTGTGCCTCAGCATTCAGTATCTACAAGCGTCAGCGAAGCCGAATTATATGGCATGAGCGAAGCGAGCAAAATGGCTGCGCGTTTCTACTATGTATTGGATTCGCTGCGAACTTGGTGGCGTCAGTATTTTATTAGCCAGAGCTTATTGCTTCCAATTACCCTTGCACGCGATAACAGTTCTGCGATTACTTACAGCCAAGGTTCATGTGGTGCGTAGTCTCAACTGAAACATTGGGACGTCAGACATGCATTAATCAAAGACCTGACTCTACGCGAGTGCATCAAACCCCTCCACCACAGTGCGAAAGTCAATCGACCGAATGGATTGACTAAAGTTTGCCCCGCAATCGAATTTTATGAATTCCTGAAACTCAGCAACATCGTCGTGCTGGATAATTGAAAACGAACACAGAGCGACGGGGATGCTAGTGGACAAGTCCCGACAGGGGGACGGAGGTCGAGAAGGATGATTCGATGACGGAGATGGAGATATTTTGAAGGCCTTGAGCAAGCAAACTAAGACAGCTTTACTTGGCGAAAATTTTACAGGTTTCAGCTACTCGCTGCAAACTCATTCTGCTTGTTTCTTTTATATCAAAGCACCTGCAACCGATAGCGACCTACTCCGTTTTATCTGTTAGTATGGACATTGCCAGGAGTGAGGGGGACCATGGCAAATAAATGACGAACCATTCGCAGCGTAGCTTCACTCCTGTCCAGTGATCCAATAAATGAGCTTTACAATCTTGAGAGAGATCCTGAAGGAAACACAAGGAAGCCAATGACCTAAATGATCCCGGAACTAGTGCGAAGCTGTTTCACGGCCACCGCTCTGGGGGTGGTCGGGACAAGAAGCAGGACGACCTTAAAACCAGCAGGGTGGAAGACTTACCCAAGACACCCTCTGAAAGAATACGTACAGGCCTTGAGTTATATTGCATACCGTGAATGCTAAGAATCTGCGCAGTAATTGGGGACTAGCCTCAACCTTCCGGCTATCCCTATTTGAGAGACCAACTGCATCCCTTTGGATATTGTTCCCGACTGGTAGTGAGTCTTTTCTGTGTGGTTCGTCTTCGCACTTTCGCTCCACACCCCGTAATCCGAATGACAAGTGGCTGCGGCCAATGGCAGGACAAAAGGGTCGGTCTCTTCTCAGACCGACCTTACTCGAAGGAGGAGTGCCGGTATCTGTGCGCGATGACGGATGGTTGCGCGGACTTCATTGTCGGCACAGGCGCAGGCAGTACGTGCGATCTTCTCTCTTCGGGCTGCACGTGGTGGATTGGGCCGTGGTGGAGAAAATACTCCTTAAATCAGTGTCAGCTGAAGGGCCGCGTTTGCCCCGCGGTGTGGGGCGGGGCGTGCAACGAATTTAACTCCCTCGCGATCGCGGGTAGTGACATTGCCACGGTGGACCAGACCAATGTTGCCAACACCAAGATTACCGACTACGACCTGTTTTGTCGGGGCCGCGGCTACGACAACAACTGCGTGGCGATGTTTCGCAACCAGAACAACGGGCAGGCGCAGGCTATGTACTTTGTGGACGGCTGTACGCAATCCTCGGCGGCAGGATGGCAGCACTGGAGTATGGCGCAAAACCAGGCAAAGTGTAAGGCGTACGTGCCCCGCGTCGATGGGACCTCCTGCCCCTCCACCTTCCAGGGCGCCTGCGCGAATATGAACGACAAGCAGCTCGGGTCGGGCATTTATTACAACGATCGGGTTTACAGCGTCGCCGAGTGCCGCTACCAGTGCGCGAACACCCCAAATTGCGGTGGGTTTTTCACGAGAACTATCCTCAGTAAAGACGTTCCCGCCCGCCCATAGTTCTTGTCAGGCAGATTTGCATGTACAGGTACGCGAACGTTTGTAATGCGCATCCCCATGAGCATGAGCGACATTTCTACGTCGTGTTTTGGAATTTGTAATGCTGTATTAATAAGTATAAAAAGTATAAGATTGACAGAATTTGTGATGCGCCATGCGTTACTTCCAAAGCTTTTGGACCATTTGTGTTGCTAAGTTTCCAAGAACTTGAGTCCAGGGTGGGAGCCACGACGTTTTTACATTCAATAGGAAGCAACGGCGAGTGTTGGCTTTTTCAGGATGGCTGCACGCCTTCCGTCAACCCGGACTTCGTTTACTACCGCATGAGCGACTGCAACCTGCTAGCCGAGCCTATGGTCGGCACGCTTGTCTCGGTGCGAGCTCTGTCTGCCACATTCTCGGGCGCCGCTTGGGTCACAGCGGCGCAGGTGTTGCTGAGACCGGAGTACGATTTTTCCTCTCGAGGTACCCAAGAAAAAAAACTGTGTTAGTGTAACTTTCTTTGGCTGACAGCATCACAGAGTTGCTCTACATGAAACAAAAATCCTGTCATGCGTGGCTTGTAAGGGAAAACTAACACACATGGGAAGAGGACTGCGTGGCTGTCTGGCATGACAGGCGTAACTCTCTTGCATTTTCTGCATTACAGAGTTACACCTACATCACAGCTTTTTTCTTGCATACGATGGGGGTCCGGGACCAATATAATCGCCTCGGACATCAGTGTGTGTTTGAACCTATCAAATGTATATATGTCTGGATCTGGAACACTGCAACTTGTCATGCTGAATCTGAATCATTCAAAAATCTGTGTTTCGTCAGCGTGATTAGCAAAAGCTTCCGACCTTGCTTCGACCAAGTGCAAGTGGAGAGGGAGTTTCTCATGCAGGAAGATACGGAGGATAGAGACCTCACTGCAGAATTTGTTATGCAAGGCCCTGCATTCAAGACCTCATGGGCCATGCGAGACCTGCATGACAAACCTTGCAATCTTCCAGAGGACCCAGACATGACATATTTGCAGTGGATAGAAGCTGCAACGCGGAGGCCTCTCCAGGCAGTTTTGGGCCGCAGAGTTTCGCGACGGGGCGCTCCACTACGTTAGCGGTTTCATGATTTTCAAACGGGGGGACAACGATGCCTGTAAGAATAATTTCCAATCCTACGCGTCCTTGGAGTACTACGATCAGAACGGCGTCCTGCTGGAAGCCCCCACCGCCGTGATGACGTCTGGGATTGTCATGGCTGCCGATGGCGTCTGGGTTCCGGTGAACAAGTGGCTGCACAAACTGCAAATCGCCGGACCGACCTCCGGTCCGGGGCTGGACGGAAGCCTTTGCTGGTGTGGCATCTGGATCTACGAAGATTTGTCTGTCACGTCAACATATGCATACTTGCAAAAGTATCGTACTGGTATATAACTTGCGTCACAAGTTCTTTTCTGAAGGAGAGAAATAGCATTTATAATGGTGGTTTAATGCTGAACCTGAAGCATCGGGATTCGTCATGCGCCATGGCTGCAATTGCTACAATTTCGATACTTTTGCAATGCATATAAGAACCAGCACCACGCCGGTACCGACAGCCACGGCGGCACCACCCCCTGTCACCACGAGCACAAGCACCACCTCGACGTTTGTGCGGCGGACAAACTCGTGGCCCCGACGCGCGCCGGGGGCGACCCCCACCAAGGTTTCCATGGAGAACCCCGCCTGCAACGGCGCCGCACCGATGGTAGGGCAGGGGGACCTTAGCTCGTGGCGAAGTTCTATCCAAGAAAATAAAAAGTAACTGCGTTAGTGTATTAACTTTCTTTGGCTGACAGCATCACAGATTTGCTCTACATGACAGAGAAAAACTGTCATGCGTGGGTTGTAAGGGAATGGGAAAACACACATGGAAAGAGGACTTCATGGCTGTCTGGCATGCCAGGTGTAGTAACTCTCTTGCTTGTTTTGCATTACAGAGTTACACTTACACAGTTTTTTTCTTGCATAAGTTCGGAGGGCGTGAACGACTTGGGGGAAACGACCCCGCGGTGGTACGCGACCGCTTCGCAACACACCACGCAGACGTATCAGAAGGAAAAATCTCCCCTCCCCATATCGCTACGAAGTTTCTGATGCTGGATTTGCGTACACAAATCAGTTGCGTCTTGCAGTGAAGGACTGCAGGCCCATATCACGCCTGAGTAGAGAGGGGCTGGCCTAGGCGTTTAGCATGAGAAACGTCTTTTCTGTAGGCCCACCAGCATCACAGACCGCCGGCATAATGCGGCGGAGCCTGTGGAGTTGCCTTCTTGCAAGACAGACGCGATTTGTGGCCACAAATCCGCATTGCAAAGTTTCTGAGGCGTGCCGTTTCGTCGATATGGGGCGCGGCGCGGATTTTTCCTCGCGATAAGACGGGCACGGGGCTCCCCTTCTACATGTCGCCCAACCCGACACGGCACGGCAGCTGTTGGCACTCGGCGGAGGGCGACGGCGCACCTTACTGGTTCGCCAAGTTTAAGGATTCCGAGGGCGGGCAGCGCGCAGTCGCGATTTGGCGGCTGTACAACTACGGGGCTGCGTACACGAGTGAGGCGGGCAAGAGCGTTACCAAAAGGAAATAAAACCCCCCTCCCCACACCGAAACGAAATTTCTGATGCTGGATTTGCTTACAGCACTACATTTCCGGTTTGTCTTGCAGTAGAAAAACTGCAGGCATATGCTAAGCCTGAGCAGAGAGGGTTTGACATACCCGCCCAGTATGACTACACTGAAGGACCAACAGCATCACAAACCGCCGGTATAATGCGGCGGAGCCGGTGGGCTTGCCTTCTTGCATAGGACGGGGCGGATTTGTGGTCACAAATCAGCACTGCAAACGAACTATCAAATGTAAAAATGTCTGGGTCTGGAAGAATGCAACTTGTCATGCTACATCTGAAGCAGGCAAAAGACAGTCTTGCATGATTGCCAAAGGTTGTGCACTTTTGACCTAATCGAGAGGCAGTTTCTCATGCAGGATAGGCATTGGAAAGGCTTCGCAGAATCTGTCATGCTATGTCCTACATACCAGACCTCATGCGTTATGGAAAACCTGCATGACAAACCTGGCAATCTTCCAGACCCAGACACTTTTGCAATCCATACGAATCGCCGCAGGCGTGCCTCGTCTGTATGGGGAGGGGGGGATTTAATTTTTCCTCGCAATAAGCGGGCGCGAGAACCGTCTCAAGAAAGCACGAGTCTATGTGAGAAACGATGCCTCTGAGGAGACGGCGCTGGGCAACCTGGACCCGGCCCACCCCGATCGCATTCAAAGCGTGGCCCACCCCGCGGATGCTTCCGTGACGGCCCCCGTGAATGTGGCCACCCTGTACGACCCCGCCTTTCGCTACGTGGACATCCCTATCAAATGTAAAAATGTCTGGGTCTGGAAGAATGCAAGTTTGTCATGCTTGTCTGGTATGACTCGAGAATCTGTGTTGCATAGGCACGAAAAGGCCCACTTACCTGTCATGCAAAAACGCACTTTGCCATCCGGAATACGTAAGACATGGCAGCCAAGAAATTTGTCATGCATAGTTGCGCATTGCAGTGCGTCTATCATTCACTTTTAGCATTACAATTTTCCAGACCCAGACATATTTGCATTTGATAATCCCCCTGCTGGGGCGGGTTGTGCGGGAATTCTACGTTGCGTGGGACACGGCGCGCGTCGGAGCGCCCGGCGCTACGGAGATTTTAAACGTGTGCGGGATCCTATCAAGAAGAAAAATCCCTCCTTCCCATGATATCAAAACGGAAATCTGTGATGCAGATTTGTGGTCACAATGTCATTGCTAGAAGGGAAAAGATGCGCGCTGTAGTGCCGGGTGGCGTGGGAAAGCCTTGCGTCTTCAGTATGTTACGACAGGAGGCAGCTGGAAGTGGGAAACAGCATGACCAATGGCCTGCAATAAACGAGGCCACAGCTGCGGCTCTTGTTGGCCTTCTAGCAATACAAGTCGAGTTGTGTACTTCTCAAAAAATGCAGCGGCACAAGTTTCGTTTCCGATATGGGGCGGAGGGGGGATTTTTCCTTTTGAGAGATCCAGATACTGGAGGATCAGGCCGACCTCCACCCGCCCGCGCTGGCCGGCTTCGACGCCGTTGCGCGGCGCGTGCCGTCGGCGGACAATCTGGACACCTACTACGACCTCGCCCACTATGGTGTGAAGCTGTTCGATATCAAATGCGAAAATGTCTGGGTCTGCTGGAACAAAGCAACTTGTCATGCTAAATCTGAAGCATGTAAAAATCTGTGTTGCATTGTTACCAAAAGCTGTCCACTTTTGACGTAATCGAGAGGCAGTTTCCCGTGCAGGATAGGCATGATAGAACTCTCACATAATCTGTCATGCTATGTCCCGCATACCAGACCTCATGGGTCATGGAAAACCTGCATGACAAGGCTGGCACCCTTCCAGACCCAGACATTTTTACATTTGATATTCGAGTTTGCGTCGGTGAGCAATGCCCACGAGCTTTACATTGACGGCCCCCCCTTCTTATCGACTGCAAATATAATGTGTCTGTCTGGGTCTGGAAGATTGCGAGACCTGTCATGCTTGTCTGGCATGACTTCTCCGCACTCTGTAATATTGCGTGGCAGCTAGAAGCAGCCTCTCTCGCCTGTCGTGCAAAAACGCAGTTTCTCATTAGGAATACGCAGCACAGAAGCACGAGAAAACTTGTCATGCTTGGCGGCGCACTTCTACAGTGCACTTTTTAGTCACTGACATGCGTCACAACTCACCCAGACATATTTGCAAGCTATACTTCTTCGACGATTTTCGCCCACTGCTGGTGAACGGGACGGCGGCGGAGGTGGTGCTGCCGGCGGGCCGGGTCCTGGGGCTGCGCGTTTTTGTGGACTGGAAGGACCAGGGCTGGGGCCACCGGAAGGGCGGGCTGCAACTGGAGATGGCAGCCAGCGGAGAGACGTTCGACATGGCGCCAGCACCGAAGAAGCGCGAAAGCCACATCTACGTGGTCAATGGTTGCACCAGCCACTACCGGTTCCTACGATATTCCAGTGGGGCCACGATGAACATCAAGCACCGCATCGGCACTGGGAATGGACACGTGCTGCACATTCTCGCGCTTCGCATCGACGCCATCGTAGACAACAGTCGCCGGGCTCTGACGGCGGCAAGAGACAGGAATGATCTGTAAGTTGTAGTCCTGTACTCCGAAAGTTTACTGGCAGTTTAAGTATTATTTTTAGAACGCAGGGGCGTGCTGCAGCTCCGTGCTAAGTAATAAATACTACAAACACAAGTTGTACAACAACTTAGAATGAATAAAGTACTATATCGATTCTTGTGGACGAGATCGATGCAGTTCGTCTGTGGGCTGTTGAACTAGACCAAGTACGTAAGCGGACTCCATTCGAGGAATCTGGTGGTGGCCAGACGACAGAAGCTTTTTTACAAAGACACTTCTGCGCCGAGTTTTACTGAAGAAATAATTTTTGGCAAAGATTGATTTGTTTTCCGAGTTCAACATTCTTGGAAGATCGTGTGAATCGGTTTTTATTGCATCTTTTTCTTCTACTTCGTTCTTCTCGCATTTTCATTTTATTGATGTGCCCGTCGTGGTACAGGTACTTGAAGATCTTGTCCCAACAAAAATAAATGCAGCCTGGGTAGTTCTTTTGTGCTAGATCGTGAAATTATTATATCAGGAGATCGGTGGAGGCGGTCGTTGTCGTTCTGCTCGTTGTTGTTGGGCCAGAGCACCAGCTATCAGTCACCGGGTTGTTTTCATCCGTGTGTCAATCTCTTGTTGCACTACACCCGGCGTGGAGGCCGTTGTGGGGGGCGGAGCGAGGACGTGCAGGTGGTCCTGCTTCAGGCCGCCGCTTTTGGAGAAGACCACCACGCGATCGGCAGTTATAATCTGGACGGGCGACGTGGGATCAACATGGGCAGCTGCACAGATGCAAAGCAACAGCAGGAGCTTCACGGGTTGTGGAGGTTCTGTCGTAGCTAGGTCCTGCTTGTTGGGGTAAGTAAGTAAGAAACCACTTGCTTTTCAAAAAGGAGCGGGGTTCTTCATCTTGCAACAAACAAGGACAAGCATCAAAGTGATAAGATCCTTGTAGAAATAATGTCGGCACTAGTACAACCCCTGGCAGCACCGGCACGTCGTCCGTCCTGTCCGCCCTCGTCGCCTTCTACCAACTGCAAAAATGTCTGGGTCTGGAAGATTGCTACGTTTGTCATGCATATTTTTCATCGCCCATGAGGCCCCTGTAATGCATGACCTAGCATCACAGATTTTTCAAGGGCCTTTTGATGCGTATTCCGCATGAGAAACGCCCACTCCGCGTAGCTTAAACTGAACTCCTCTTGCTGGTCATGCAATACAGATTTTTTTTACCTTCCAAAGACAGCATCACAAGTGACAACCTTCCAGACCCAGACATTTGTGCACTCGATACCTTCTTCCTCGGTGCAAAAATGGGCCTCCGTCATCAACGCGCGGAGGCGAGGTGATGAGATGTTACAAAAAGAACTGCTAGTACTTCATCTGCCCGAGGTGGAACAGGAGCTACAAGTAGAGAAAGATAGCACGACGACAAGAGCTGCTGCCACGACCACTGATTCTACTAATAAAACGCTCGACTTTATTCCGTCGACCAATTTGAGGACCGGCAAGAGCAGTGAAAATGTCGCGTCGGCGAGCTCTATACTAGTTCCAGCTGAGAAGCGTTTTGCTGCTTCCGAGTTTTTGCTTAACACGAGTACAACAACCCGTGGTAGACGTGAAGATGTGCAACAGGGCCGAAAAAAAATTTTTTTTGCGCAATTAGTGAACGCCTAGAAAAAAGACTCAGCGACATGCGCGCGCGAGAGCTTCGCTGCGGCGCTTCATGTAGAAATCCTGGCCCAGAAAGCGCACGAAACGCGTTCGGCGACTTCCAGGGCCGAGAGATATCAAGGCCTACGCCTCAACTGTGCTCCTTCCTCTCTAAAGAAAACGATGTCGCGCGCGCTTTGGCGGATTGCTTGCTAGGTGGCTGGGCGCCCTCGCTTTGCGGGGACCCCGCGGAGTTTTTCTGCAGAATCTGGAAAGGCCCACTTCGCCCAGACGCAAGCGCTACTCCTGTAAAGGCCAAGGCTGAACTGAAATGCGCCACAGCGCCGGCAGTGGCTGTTTTGCACCAAGGCGGACACCTCTCGCCCGCTTCGCTTCTCAATATTCATTTTCGAATCACGACGACACTGCGTTTCCGTTTTTATTAGCAGAAGCTACTCCCACTTGATTTATCCAATATTCATCTGCGCAATTTGCGACAGCGAAAAACGCCAAAAAAGTGCGCACTTTCTGGGAAAAACAGGCGTTTTTTGGGGAGGTGAATATTTTTGCGTATCCCACTGCTATGCTCCTTCCAGACCAGCCCAAAAAGTAAAAATATTCATACCTTCTCTGAGGACGTCAAAAAAGTGCTTCTTTTCTGCTTGCAACCTTTGCGGCCTTTGGCAGCACACAAAGTCGCTGAGCTTTTCTATAGACTTGGCCAGCAGAAGCATCCTGGTAAAGGCCAGGCGACCCCGTCTTTTGCAGGGGTTTGCGCCTCGGCAAAGTGTGGCCGTCTAGAGCAACTGCTCTAATGCCCGCCACTTACCGGGATGTGCTCGAGTCCAGTCGGGATCGAGCAACGCCTGTAGGGGCAAGGCAGCGCAGCGTGGCAGCTTCTTCAAAGCTTTGAGACCGTGATCTGCCGCCTGAATGCTACGAATGCTGCAACTTGTGGAAGTTGGCTTTGCATGTCGCCGGCGCGCAGGCCGTCCCCTGTGTGTTTGAAGGATCTGACTCTCGAGCGCCATCGACCGACTGGGCCCAGCAAGCGACTTCCGGGTAGTACCTGCGTCGGGGCATCGCAGGCGCGTTAGCGCTCTGCAATGCCTCACGCATGGCGCGGCGCGCTTCGGCCCGGCTGGGCGGCCACTGGCCGAAAAATTTTTTTTTTGGCTCCGTGAATATTTTTGAAATGAATATTTTATCGCCGTCATAAGCGTTTTGCTGCTTCCGAGTTTTTGCTTAACACGAGTACAACAACCCGTGGTAGACGTGAAGATGTGCAACAAGAAGAACTCCACTTCGTGGAGCAGGCGGTGGACCTCGTCGCGTCAACAGAGCTGCAGCAGCGAAGCACGGTTAATATAATTTCACCCTGCTCAGGACGACGAGCACCGGAGGTCTATTCGCGGCCTTCGCGACGCTTTCTGCCTCCAGCAGATCCCGAACAAGGAGGTGCGGAATTTTTACGTCCTGCGAATCAGAAGAGGAGCCGAAGGTCCTGCTGCTCGTGCAGAAGAAGTCGACGTCCCAGAGGTAGATTATGGTCGAGTAGATTATGGTCGTGGTCCACGGGTCGTTGTAGCAGTTCGAAGCGAACAAGCGGAAGTAGAAGGGAGCAAAAACAAGATCAACAAGACCTCCGACAAAAACTTGCCGGGGCTTTGGGTGCTGGTACACGAAACTACGACCGCCACTACGCTGACAGTTGTACCACTTCTGACAGCAAACGCACAAAGAACAGGACGAAGTTGCAAGCTAGCAGAAACTGCACGGGGAGAAGAAATGGCAAGATAATTTGTGTCCGCGATAGTAAATCAAGAACTAGCTGCGAGCAGTGTGAAAAGAAAAAGAAAAACGCAAGCGGTGTCGCAGGAGCTGGAGAAGATCATATTATGGTCGTCGCGCATGGTCGTGCTAGTGGATACGTCGAACGAGGCGCTTGCTACAGAGAACATAATGCGGATGCTGCGTGTGGTCTTCTGATGTTGATGTTCTTGCCGAACATGAAATTAGGCACACAAAGTAGAACAATAAGCTCGTCGTGTTCTAGTAGAAGGCAGCGTTCTACTACTTCTTGTGGCCAGCACGAGCGGCCGCACGTCGGAGCGGACCAAGTTGTACAAGGACTAGGACCTCCCACAGGTGGACAATTACAAGCTGGACTAGATCCTCTATCACGACAAGAAGTGTTGAGCAACCACAAAGGTGGCACGTTGAACACGAGGACTTTTAGTTTATCTAGGCCAGATCTCAACATCCCCAGCAGCTCTGGTGCAGGTCAAGATCTGCCGGCACGGGCGGGAGCAAGCGATGCGGAGAACGAGTTCATCTTGGAGAACAGTTCTACAGCAGCCACAGAACTGCAAAGACCTGCACGAAGAATTATACGAACACGAACAACTTCGCCTTGCTCTAGTAGTTCTTCCACGGCACAAAAAGAACTGGCGGGAGAAATGGAAAAGAATAAAGTCTTCAACGACCGCCACACGACCAGCATCTTCCGTCAAAGAAGGGGAACAAGGAGCGAAGAGCATATGGTAGTGATCGAGAGCTGCTGGTCTACCTCGTGCTTACGAGAAGCCGGGTCGTGCAGCAGAGGCACAGCAGGCGAAAGTCAAAGGATCATTTGTGGAGTTCTTCTTGCGCAACAAGAAGCTCGTCCCGCTGCTCCAGTGGGGACGAATGAAATCGGATCGGGACGAGGTTCTTTTCGATGTTGTAGTAACAACACAGCTAGGAAGATAAAAATTATATCATCTTCACGTCGACCAAAGGCGGAATTCTTCCGAACACCAGAAAATAAGATCCCCTCGGCGGCCTACGTGCTGCCGCCAGTTCCCCGAGGTCCGTCTCCTAGTACAAGTCGGCGCAATGATCTTCATGAAGACGACCGGAGTATTAGTAGTAGGTTTCTTTCAGTTTCATCCACTCTCGACGTGATCCCGGCCCGGCTGGGCGACGATGTGCAGGGTCGAAGGGTCGCCGACAATTTCATCCACTACCCGCCCCAGGTTGTATCATTTCCCGACAACTACGGTAGAACAAGAACAGATGAAGATGACAACAGCTGCTGCCCTTGGTCTAGTAAAGCTGCTGCATCTACTACTGCAAGAGGAACGATCTTCTCTATTAGAAGTTGTGCAAGAGCTGCTGGTGCAAGAGATCAACAACATCTCCTTCTCCACGAAGCTAGAAGCGCTATTCAGGACGAGAGCCAGCACCACTTCGAAACCGCGTCAAACAGAGGCATCTTCTTCTTTGAGAACCGAGCCGCGCGAAGAAGTTGTACTACTTCTAACCGACAACAACTCTCCTGTCGCAGCAAGAGCGGCGTAGCAAGTGAGGATCGAAATCGTGAAGATGTCCCTTGTCCTACTACTTTCAACGGCGGAAATAAAACAACCAAGGCGAGCCTATCTTCCCTGTCTTCGGCCTCGGACAAGGCGCATCGGGCACGCGTGGCGAGAATGGTCCCCTTCACGAGGACCAGCGTTGTACTAAGAAGTAGTACTTCTACAGGTGGGCTGCACGACCAGTTCGTGCACGAGGACCAATGGAGGTCGTCGCGAGGTGCTCTTTTCTGTGGAGGACGAGCTGTTCGAACTACCCGATCGGAGCTGCACAAATTCATCACTTCACGACCACCAGGGCAGCAGGTGCACAACGGAAGCAACTTTGTGTTGGCTAG